AAATTTCAGGCTACTTTTATTCTTTTTAAACAGGTTTGCAGTGGTGTTGTATTTAAATAAATAAATGAAAAGCTATTTTTATTGACTCTAAATAAATTAAACTTTTTTATTATTGCATTTATTGCTCAACTTTATTATGGTTTTATTTCTTTGCTGTTCTTCATATATATGAAAGGAAACGTGAATAATTTAATGACGAAATTTTCTGCTACAAAAAAATATTGCATCGAGAGCGACTAATCATTGATCATTTGCCCTGACTGGGGTGAGATGGACGGACCATTCAACCGCTCAATTCACCCGCGCGATTCGATTACTTTTTAATTGGGTTTGTCGCACGTCAATGCAAATTCACTGCTTTTTCTAGTGATGTGTTTTTCGCGTCAAAGTGTGCATTCAAGCGTGCACGTGATTTTTGTGCCCGTGTCAAACTCTGTGCTTTTAAATTTAAATTAAAATTTTCATCAGAACATCTCTATATATCTGTTATATACATGAAAAGCATCAAAAATTGATTCTTTTTGCTGATGAGATTTATAAATTTACAAAGAATAAAGTCAGAAAATTGAAACTGTTTTATGTTTTTCATAATGCAGGTTTTTAAATGAAAATTTTTGTAAATCAATATATCAAATTATGAATTTGGCCTGTAATATAATTTAAAATTATTCAGATGCAGGTAGCTGGAAGTTACATTTTATGATATTTTCCTGCAAGATTCAAACATTTGGCAAATAGAATGTTATAATTTTATTAAATTTCTTTTGTTAATTTGAATTGCTTTTATTTATAATAAAAAACCTGATCATCAATTTAGGTCATTTTACACACTTTTACGATTTCATTTGCTAAATTTTATGTCTTCAACTGATCAAATCGTGAATATTTGGCTCGATCCACTTTGCATCTTTCCTAATCAGATGTCCTCTTAAAAATAATTTGGGTCGGAGATTTAATTTTGAAATAAAAACTCGCAGTTTTGGCCGAAAAATCTAGTTCTTTGGTCTCTCTCTATTTCGAGCGCTCGTTTTCTACACAGCAGATTTTGGCTGATTTGGTCTGGCAATATATCGAGGGCGGATGGCGCTGATTATTTTTAAACGCCGGCCGGCACTCGAATGAGTGCGTTTGTTGTTGGCGGCTCATCTTGGCACCTTCCCCTGCTTTCTACTTTAATTCTCGCTCCGAGAGAAGTCTGCTCGCTCGCGCGGGTCTTCCGAGAAAATATTTTCGCGTATTTATAGGTCCGTTCATTGGCTTTGCATCTACTAGTCCCTCCAGTTTATTCACTCGACGGCGCTTTCGTAACTCGGCGGCGCGAGAGACAAGAAGAGAGTGCAAAAAAATCTGTGTAGCTCTCGTTTGAAGCATCGCGAATCGCGATGTACTGACTGCACGCGTTATTTTTGACTGGGGCTTTCCAAGCGTGAAATCATGTTAGAAAAAATTCAGTTAAAAAAAACAGCTTCATTTAAAAGCAACAATTTTTTACTGCTTATTCAATTCTGGCATATAAATTGTAAATATAATCAATTGAAATTTACAAAAAGAACTTGCGAAGAATGTACCAAGTCTTTTTTACCTCAAATGTGTGTTTTTACTATTCCTTTTAAATTATGAATTTGTTTAGACTGGAACAATAAAATAAATTTTTATTTTTCTTAATTATGCTATAATTAAAATGAATTTATATCAGAGTTTTTGCAGAGTCAACAAAAGAAATCATTTCGTATCAGAGAACGTTATAAAAAATTTATTAAGTAATTAAACTGCGATATTAATCATAATTCTTAATTACAGGTAAAAAAAATATTATATTTTTGTGATATTTAATGAATTTTATTTTATTTCAATTCTGCAGTTTTGCTGCTTTTGGTTTTGATCAGGTGGGATTCTCATCAGTGAAGCGGCCGACACAGCCCTGATAATACACCTGATCAAAAGCGCGTTGCTCTCTCTCCATTGATCAAAAGCAAACCTAACAAAGGACATCTGAAGCTTGTGTGCTGTGTATTGTGTGCAGCCCCTTTTTTATATAAAGCGCCCCCTGAGCTCTAATCAACCGTCTGAAAACCGGTCCACTATTTTTAAATCACAAACCCACATCAAATAAAAGTACAAAATAATTTTTAACAAAATTCGAACAAAGGAGCAATTTTGAATGCTTGATTTAATTAATTAACGGGACGCAGCAGGCGGTGCTGGCGAATCGGCAACTTTGGCTTTATGTACGGAAAACCTCAGCACGCCGTGAATTGCGACTGAGGCAAAGTTTCCGCTTTTCACAACAAAGGCAGACAAGTCGGCATTAATCTGCACTAATGCACCCCTGCTTCGAGTATCTGGGGTGCGAATAAATAATCTGCTTACGGTGAATAACTATCTGCGGTTGAGAGTTCAACGCGGTTGAATGTCACGCCCCACGAGTGCAAACTTGATGCTTTGCTTCTTCCACGAACGCTGCAATCAGTTTGCTTGGCAACATCTGACGCGCCCAACCGGGTTGCATACTTTATATTTATACCAATTTTGTACTTTCGTAAATAAATAACTTTGCTAGCATTGAGAGAAATTAAGTCAAGATTTGCAATCATTGTTATTTGCATTAATTGTCATAATTTGATTGCTAATTTTTAGTGAAAATAGTTTAAAATTTTAAATGAAATCAAAATTTCTGTTTGAAACTTGTTTTTATTATTTTTTAATTATAATTTCACAGCTTCTAGGTTAAATATTATTCAAACAAAAATTTCTTGCATTTGGTTAAACTCATTGGCTGCTTTTTTGAGCCTGGTTAATTAACTGTGGCGGTTTGTTTCCAGCAGATTCAATAAAAACAGAGAGCATCTGGCGTAATTTTGTGTTTATTTTGTTTATTTGCAGAATAAATTAAACAAAATCCACCTCCCTGCTGGCAATTGATTGCACGGCGCCATCCGCCGTAAATCCAAGTCTGAGCGAAAACCCATTTGCTCGTGGTACTGGATATGTGTCGCGCAAATACATACAAAGTGCCGCAAAGCGAAAAGCACTGTTCGATCTGCAAAAACACAGTGGATGGGAACTACGCTGTGGTGCAATTTAAGGTAATTTATATGTCCAGAGAGTTTCTTTCTCCCCCCATTCGGAACAGGTCACATATTTTATATTTTATTCGAGTCGCGTTTTTCAAATTATTATATATCTTTTCTACTTGATGTTGAAATAAACGGCGCGCGAAACAGAAGCGTTCATTCTCGTGTGCGGCGCGAGTAATTTGATAAGGAACGCCAGAGATTCCATCACCCGTATCAACTTCATCCTTTGCGCACATGAGAAAAAGATAGAAACTGTTTTTCGAACTTAAAATGTGCTGTTGTTTGGGCTCATTACAAATTTTGATCAATTAGAGTAAAAAAAGTTGAACAAAATCACAGCGAAATAATTTCCTTTTTAAATTTAAATGTTAAGATCCTATTTTATTTAATAATTTTACTAAAAATTTGGAAAATTCATTATCCGTTATTTATTTATTATTATTTGCAGAAAATTTATCTTCAAATCCGAAACAGACCTAAATTTTAAATGTTCTCTTCCTCACAAGTAATGCAGCAAATCTATCGTGTCTTGCAGAACGTGTTTTTCTCATTCCAATGCAAATACCTTAAATTATGTGGCAAGGAAATTCAAATTAGAGCCAAATATTACAACAGAATCTGGACGAAACATTTTAGAATTAACAAATTTTAAGGAAATTTTTAAAATTTGGGTCATTAATAAGTTTGGTTAATATCTTGATTAAATTTAGTGAAACAAGCCAAATTTAAAAGTGAAACGATTTTCAGTAAATTGTTTTCCCTAAATCTTGATGCAATTGCAAATAATATTAATAAATATTTTGAATGTGCGAAATTTGAGCATCCACATGTAAAAAGAGCGAGCTTTCATGAAAGATTAGTGCAATTCTTACTTCTAATTCCTAATCTTTTACTTTTCAGTTTGTCTTTTTCAGCATCATCAGTCGCCGCTAAACTAAGTTTATGCCAGCGAAAATAAGTTTATGCCAGCGAAAATAAATTATGCTTGATTTTAATAAAGACAAACCCAAAATAAAATAATAAAAAAAGACAAAATTGAGTGGCGCCTTCTGCGCCACTAAAAAGGGCACAGGCCGACAAGACTTTGTCTTGGCCTGACCCTAAAAAAGAAAAAAAAAGAAAAAAAAATTACTAGCTCTTTTAGTTTCTTTATTAAAATGTGTCTGAATTTGCTACATAGATTTATTTAGTAAAAAAATTGAAATTAATTAATTGTGTTTAAATGAAAATATCAATTAAAAACAATTTATATTGCAGCACTAGAACCAGTTCATTTTTTTACATCAGCCGAGTTTAGAAATATTTTTCAACATCAAATGAGTGTAGAATTATTATTTTTATTTTTGTTTACAAATGTTATGAAAATTTTATGAAAAAACAATAATGCAAGTCTTCAGCAAAATTTTTAATTGGTTGTTGTGTGACACGTAAATTTAGTATGGTTTAAATTAGGTAATTTCGCAAAAAAATCAGTTTTTTTAGTTGTAATAATCCATAATTTTCTTTCTTCTCTTAATTTTATTCAATTTGAAATTCTGATTCTTTATGAGCAATGATTTCCTGTAACATATTTATTTGCAATAATTAACTAAATTAAAATATAATCTGAGTTAAATTCAAATAATATGCAGAAAACATATTTTAATTTTAGTGAAATTATTTGTATCCTTTTTTTATCTCTAATTTAAATTAAAATTGAGGTTTAAAATAATTTTCAATCTATACAGAACAATGATTGTCATATTTCAAAAATCAACCCTTTTCTATGCATATAAGTGAAGGGAGAGTGCGTCAGGTCGGCTGGCGTTTGAGACAGCGGAAGCCTTTATAGGTGGGTGTGTTGCCGGCGTCGGTGTGGTGGCGGTAGCGGCGGCGGCGGCGGCGCCGTCGGCCCCGCTCGCTCGCTCTTGGCCGAGGCGGCCGGCCGAGCGCTCAGTGTGCACACGTTGGCGGCCGCGAGGGCTGCATGCAGGTGCTCTCGCCACGCGTCCCTTGCAACGTGCCTCCCTTGATCGCCTTGTGACCTCTGACCTCGAGTCGATGGCACCCCCAGGGGGCGCAACCACCCCCCTGCTCCTGCTCCTCGCTCTTCTCGCCACAGGTCGGTTGTTTATTTTCACTTCCATTGTTGTTTTGTTTCGGAGAAATTGAGAGATTGACGGAAGCTTTTCGATCCAGGTCTGTCAGTTTGGATTCTTTTTTTCAAGTGTTGATGGTGATTTTGTTTGACCAGCTGCATTTATATGAATTTTCCTCTTTCGTAGCCATAAATTTATTTTTATTTTTCCTTTTTTTAGTTTGCAATTACATTCAAAAGAAGAATGACTTTTAATACATTTTTCGTAATCATTTCCAATTAAATTCTGTTATGACAAAACCAAATATACTAAAAATCAACATCTGCAAATAAAAGAAAATTTAAAAATTATGTAAACAAACTCTCTGGAAATTTCTGCGAATTTGCTACAATTGAATTATCAGGACTTGTTTGTTTTCTATTAAACTTGATTGTGATTATTTGATGTGGCATTCAATGAAACAGCAATTACCGTTTCAATTAGAGCTCTGAGAACTTACTCGGAATTAAATTGGCTTGTTTTCTCGCAACAAAATGCAAATCACGCGGCCCCTCGCTCCGCAATAACACTGCTTGGGCTATTTCGGTGCCCTTTTTTGCAATGCACCCCGTTGCCAATAAATTATTTTGTCTTGACAATTAGGCAGCGTAAATCACATCGTCGGCCGCAGCGAGTGAATAAAAATAGACCGCGAAATTCACAAAACTGCACTGGCCCTTTGGCAACTATTCAATAGAAACAACCCTTGAATACTTGGCTCAGATTAAGTGCCAAAATTCGGTCTCGTAAGAAGGAATTTTGGATTGTATTTGTTTGTCAGCAAAACAGATTTTCTTTTTATCATGGAAATCATCAATGATATTTAAGGAATATTCTAATACAAAACAATTTATACCGAATTTTTCTTTTTCTAAAATAATTCAATCAAAAACTAACGTTAATTTTGAATTTTATTTAGCACTTTATCAAATAAATTGACTAATTTATACAAATAATGAAGGGATAATTTCTTTAATTGATAATTAATTCAAAACCAGCATTAAAATTAATCAAATTTTTATTATTCTTCGCAATTTTATTCTTTTTTTGTTGAAATTTAAAGAAATTCAATGACCATTAATTTTGCATCTGGAACTCTTCTTCTTTTTCTTTTTGCTCAAATTGAATTTAGAAAGGCCGCGGTTTTCTCTAAACAATAATAAAATTATATTCAGATGAGCTGTGCCTTTCCAAAGCAAAAGGTGCTTTGAATAGACTCTTCTTTGAATTAAATTAATATAATGCAGGGTACGAGCACCGCAGCTGCTGCTGGACTGGCCAATCTGTTACGCGCGACAAGAAATGAGAATTTTCACTTCCGTTTCCGAGTGTGCTGAGGTGTGACGCGCGTGCTTTTCTAAATGTATTCCATATCCCGCCGCCGCGTGCATGTTGACCGTGGCGAGTAAACATTCATTCGCCGCCCCCTTTCCTCCCTAGGCCTTCTTTTTCGTATCGTTTTTTTTTATTCATTCCGGCGGCGTCATCTCAAATTCCCTTTTCACGTACGCTCCGTGCAAGCAGACCTGCTTTTCAAAACCGCAAACTGTTCCCCTCTCGCCACGCCAGAGTTTCATTATTTTGCGCCTGCACATTTCGGGCAAACTGGAATGGAATATATTTGTGCGAAAAGTGAAGTGCAATTGGCAAAAACAAACCTTTCTTTAATTCTAAAATCCTTCCAAATTTCGGTCAATAGCCTAGCCATATTTTTAAATGTTTGGCAGTATAATTTTTTTTTATTTGAAAAGGTCATTTTAATTTTTTAATTAGTCTCGCAAAGTCTCAGGTTATTCATGTGAAAATAAATAAGAATGCAATTGAAAATAAAAATCATTGGACGCTCTTATTTTTTTTAAATGGATATCAATAAAGAAAAAATTGCATCAAACCAAAAGCAAATTTTATTGTAATTAATGAAATTGAAGATTATTATATTAAATTTTTCCCCATTGTAATCAAAAAGTAAATGTTATGATATTTTGACGCTCTTCAGTCGATTTTCTTGTCTACGATCCATTGCATATAATTGGTCACGTCTGTGAACAGCGAGTAAGAATTTGGATCGCAAGCGATGAATTCTTCTTTGTTTATTTCCAATTTCTTTATTCCTGAGCTGACGACGCCGCGCAGAAAGTAGCGACCAGATTCACGAATGTACAAACCGCCACCGCTGTCTCCTTTGCAAGCTCCCGTTTCTGAAAAAGAATCAAGCAATAGAAAAGAATAATTTGCATTATAATGAAACAGTTTCGCTGTCAAAGTTGAAAATTGCAACTAAAAATTTAATAGTACTCACGGTTGTGAGGATAACCGGCGCAGAAGTTTTCACGGGGATGCAAATTTTCAGACATGAAGAGTCTGCTGCTCTGATAACACTCTTGGTATGAGACGATTTTCAAATCTGCTCTTTGCAGAGTATCCGGGAGCGTGTCGTCAGACGTGCGGCCCCACCCGACCACCTATATTAATTCTAAAATAAAAAAAAATTGATAATGAAAACTCCTGACCGTGCCCGTTCCGTTGGCGATTTTGTTGAGGTCGTAGTTTGAATTCCATAGACAAATCGGCCGCACTTTTGCAGTGACTTGGACATTTTCAGCCAGAATTATCAAAGCGATGTCGTCCCCAAAATCGTTCCGGTGATTATAACCAGGATGCACTATCACTTTCGAAGCCTGCCAAATTATCAGATTATTTTTTGTTGTGATATCCAAAAGATTAATTATGTAAGTTATGTAAAATTCGGTGCTCTTCTGATACACACAAATAAAGTTCTTTTGTGATTTTTTGCCCGTGCAAAGGATAGAATAAAACTATATTAAAGTGGTACTTTACAAAGGTGAAGTAATTTTACTAAAATTTCCCAGCATTTCCGTCCATTTTGATTTTCATATACGGAAAAAAGTCAAAACTTTTGATTGGTCCTCATTTGGTAATAATTTCAAAATGGACAAAACAAGACAAATCTCTCACCACGCAAAATAATTTACCCTTCTTATCTGCCGGAATTCCTCATCTTTAGAAATTTGGCGCATCCCAAGCGTCACTTCCAACGCAGAAGCTTCCCTTGGCAATCCAGAAGTATGAAAAAGACAGTGAGCAGCTGAAAATTTGAACTTTTTTTCATAAGTAATTTACTAGTTCTTCAAATAACTCGCTGACAAATAAGAGGAATTGAAGGAAACCAAGATCAAAATCTGGACGGAAAATCGAGTAAATTTTGATTTAAAAGATGTGGACTGGCAGTTACAAATAATATAAACGCTTAATATTTAAGTTTATATAGTTGTTGTTTTAGAATTTTTGACACTCAAAGTGTTCATTTTTTGATGAAGTTTTAATTTTTATCTGTTAATTTTTATTGTCTTCCACAAATTTTAATCCATTAAATTGTAATGAATAGTGAATAATATTTCCATAAAATCTGACCAGTGATCAGCGTCTTTCTCGAAATGAGCGTCGCTCCGCAAAAGTCGACAAGTTCATATGTGTTCCAGATGAATGAAAGGCTGGCGTGCCAGGGGAATTGTCCACTGTCCGCATCCTGACCCCCCAAAATGAAATGGGTGTGTGCGTTCTTGTCGTCATCCCTTTTGTCGCGCCGACGTCTTTCTTGGTACCCGCAGTTCGGGAAACTCTGGTTTTGGCCGAAATCTGAAAAGGTGTCTTTTTTATTTTGTTTTAAAACAAAAAATGAATGAGACACGACCTATCCACTCTTGCAACTTGGAAATTTCAGGCATGACTGCCAGGTCGGCCGTATTAGAAACAATTTGTCTCATGACAGGGAGAAGGTCGAGCCAATTTTTTAAAGTGTGTTCAGAAAAAATGTTATTAATTCCACGTAAATAGAAGCGGCCGTTTCGATTAATGAATAAATAACCACGATTTTGCACTGCCTCACCTGCAAGATCAAAATTAGTGGATTTTATTGCAATTGTCATATTTGTCATTTTGTATGCAAAAATTCGACTTGAGTTTTTGATTCTTTTTTAGCATTGTTTAATCGTTAAATGATAAAAAGTGTACTTGCGTCTTTTAGATGTGCTTATTGAGTTCCCGTAAAGGTCACAATCATCTTGACGTACTACATCACTTTGATAACAACTATCCTCAGGCAATATATTATCATGTATATTCATCGTGCCCTGCAACATCAGCATTTTTACTTGACCACGTTTTTTTTCACTTTCTGTTTGTCGAAAAAAAAACCTTTTTTTAAAGAACCTGATTGAAAAATACAAAGAAGACTAGTGTCATTAAATTTCGGGTGAATTGGTATGTAAATCTTTTAATTTGTTTGAAGAAGTTGACACTCGAGGAGAGGATCATGGAAATGAAGAGATCGGGCTTTTCCTCGTTGCAGAAAAATTGTTTTTATTCAAAAAACACAAATGGCTCTACCAGTTTCGGTCACGGTCAGCGACCCTATTTCATGAGCAAGAAAATGTCCCCCAATCAATCAGTCTTTAGCTAACTCATTCTTGTATTAGTCAGCGAGCAGCGCGTTGGCTCATGAAATTATGTTAAAATGTGGTGTTTTTTTCAATTTTGCTGATTCTTTGTATTTTTCTTGCTCATGAAATAGGGTCGCTGACCGTGACCGAAACTGGTAGAGCCATTTGTGTTTTTTGAGTAAAAACAATTTTTATGCATCGAGGAAAAGCCCGATCTCTTCATTTCCATAAATCTTTTAAACTAACATTATAATAAAAAAAGTTTTCCTGCGCGTCGTTCTGGTTGTCTTGATTCCACAAGCAAACAGGCTGCAAACTCGGCGTGAACCTCAGTTTTTCTACTCTCAACAGAAGTATGTGGTTGACGTAATAAGAGCCAATTTTCAATCCTACAATTTTGTTAAAACTTTGATCATGATGCACCTGGGGACAGAATTTTTAAAGTAAAAGAGCGGAAAATTTGGCAATCTCACCTTTAGACTCAGCAAGCCTCGTTTTTTGAAGCAAAATTTTTTGTCCTGGTTAATACATTCACCGCCAAAAAAAACGGGTTCCGTTCTTTGATCTTCTAACATTCTTAATCTTGCTGCCTCATCACTACAATACTCTAGGTGCAGAAAAGTAATTTTATTTCAAAATTCTGGAAAATTGGAATTCTGCATTACCTGTCATCATGATCGTTTGATCTGACAGAATTATAGCATCACAACCGGTTTTGTCAAAGCGAACCACCCACGGAGGGATCTCATCGTAATTCTTTTGGTCCCACTTGCCGCAGTTTTCAAAGCTCAAATTATCATCGTCAAAATTGAAAACTGGAATCATTAAAAAAATACCAGTTTCATAAATATTATTGTTAAAAAAGAGTCAGAGAGGAGGAGATTTTTCCAACCAAACAATTATCAAAATAGGAAATTTATTGTGTTATATACCATTACTTGTCTACCTTATAAAAAATGTAATTAAAATATTCATCTGATTAAAAGATCATAATTCTCATATAAAATAATTGAACAGACTAATTAAAGAGCAATCATCAATATAAATTCAACTATTTAATTCACACGTCAGTAATTTAATAAAGAGCAATGGTCAATATATGAGCATTTAGGATAATGAGAGAGGAGAAAAGCTGAGAGATGGGACAACCGCACAGCCGAGTACCTGCTGCAGCAGGTACCTGAGAGAGACGCCGGACAATAGAGCGCGCCCAGCGCTCACCCTTATAATGTGCCTTGACCACACGCAGAAGAAGAAGAAAGAAAAGAGTGCGTTTGTGCAGATGTTCGCGGTCTGGCCGTCGCCAGATAACTCTTTTACAACCATCCGTAAATAATATATAAGAAATAATGTATTTCTCTGAAGATGTTTTTCGTGTACCTGAATTTTAAGCAGGAAGCGCGTGAGAAAGAAAAGCGCAAACTGCACGTAGGCCCAAAGGAGGTAAAACCCACCCTCCTGAGGACCGACCAATCAAATGTAATATAAACTAGCCTCGCTCGCTGACCATTTCTGTGCAGAGATTTTTGTATTGAAAATAAGAAAGTTTCACTTCGCTCCAAGCAGCCCCAGAGTGCACCTCGCTCGGGAGTTTATCTCACTGTAATTATTTTTCATTGTAAATTTATTGTGCGCGCATTTCCAAGTTATCAGGCTCGATCTTTGAACTGAAACCAGTGGACATTTCCAATTAGCCTGATTTGTGAGTTTGAGAAACTTTTCGGCTCGGTTTCGGCTCTCGTCACAGGTTTTCGGGTGGTTTTCCTTGTGACACTGCGAGAGCGGGGTTTTGCCAAGTTTGCCCACCTCGTCTACTCCAAATAGACGCGCAAACGCCCCACCGGCCACCCTGAGCAACCCTGCGCCCTTCCGAGGCGCCCCTGAGTAGATGTGACGTCAGCGCGGCCCTCCGGCCGCCCCGAAGCAGCAGCACGCCAACTCCAGCAGCAGCCCCTGCTTTCCTTCTCTCTCTCCGCCGCAGCCGCGGCGATGTGTAAGAAAAGTGATTGAAAACTCTCGATCCAAATTGCTCATTTGATCATTGATCTATTTTGCTCTTATTGCTCTATTTGATTTTGATTGATAAATATGACGTGTATTTAATTTCATTTGACAACACAATAATAATTAATTCAACAGAATTAATTAAACTTCTCTCCTGCATTTTATTTATAATATAAGTGGATCCCGGCTAATTAAATAAATAATTTAGTCTCTTGTTTAATGCCACAAAAGCTACAGTTTTTACCAGAGAAATTAATAATCAATAATATTTAAACGGGAGTAATTTGCATTCCTACCTGAAATTTAACAGGTAATTAAAGTAATTAACATTAAAACTCCCATTGAATTAGAGGCATTACAATTGTTGTTTATTACATTAAAAAGTTTTAACAAAGTATTTTGGTTTTGTGTTAACATGATACATTTAAAGCCTATTTTTAATTCAAATTACCATGATATGTTTAAGTGTATTAAAAATTATTATCATATATTAAATTGTTCAAGAATCTCATTGATAAAAATTCTTTTGGTGTGTTTTCATTGAAAGGAATTTTCGTTGTATTTAAATGATTATTATAGAAATTTGAATGTTTCTGTGCTACTTACCATGTGCGTTTAACACAGATTTGTTCTTTCCGTAATTCCAGCATTGATCCTTTTTAATTTTCTGTAAAAATTCAAGTGAACATGGTAGAAATGAATTTGAATTTTATGCAACAAAACGCATGACAAAAAAATATGTACATATATTTCAGGGAATCTGAGCATGAGCTGCTCATGAGCAGCGTTGAGCAAGGGTATCTTGAGCATGAGCATTGAGCACATGCAAGTGAGCACCCTGCAAGTGAGCATGCTCATGAGCAAAACTAGTTGAGCAGACGAAAATGCTCATGCTCAGAAACCCTGATATATTTAAATTTAGTCATAACAAATTTAATTTTGATGTCTTCACCTGGAGTTTTAATCATAAAATTTCATGTAGTTTTAAAAAAAAAGTAAGGTAAATTAGTATGAAAATATGCATTTGAGTTGTGTAATAATCATTAAAATCATATTTTAAAACACTGACCCGATCAGAATATTCTCTAGGACTTGGTCCATATCCAAAAGCAAAAAATCTGGCCGCAGTGAGCAGCCAAATCCATCCAGTTAACTTAAACTTCATCCCTTCTCGCCAACTTTCTGTAGATCCTGGACTGGATAAAAATGGCAACAGTAATAGTTTTACTCTCACTAAACGCTAAAAAAAGCAAGCTTTAATTTACTGAAAGTTTAAATCGGCAGTTAAATCGTCAGCGGATGCACTCAAACTGATGAGACACGGTCCTTTCTGGGGATTTTATGCCGGCCTCGCAATTGATATTTGACCTCATGCAATGAGCAAAACAAGTCCAAAGGGTTGAATGAGATAATAAAGCTGCTTGCTAAAATAATTCGGTGGCAAAAAAAAGACGACTAAATTATAGGTTTATTCGGTTTGTGTATGGGCGGCATATTTTTGAGGTGGCCAAGACCGAGCTGCTCTCCGTCCAGCAGCAGCTGAAGTACAACGACTTGACTTTCTTCCGAAAGTGTCTGGATGGAGACACCGACATGGACGCGATGGCGCGAATAAAGACTGGCCGAAAGATAAGAGACAGTAACAGTGACGAAGAGCACCACCGGCTCATTCCTCCGAAAGTGCGCACCGACCTCGGCCTCTACTCATTTCCCTTTCGCCTCGCGTCCCAATGGAACTCCCTCCCTTCTGTGTTAAAATCGTGTGCGTCAAATAATTTCCCAAAATTGTGCAAAGAGCATGTTAAACAAATTTGATTTTTTTCCCCCGTAGTTTAGGCTGCAGTGCGGCGAGTAGTCGGGTATTTATCGCCTCTTGGTAAATACGCGGTTATGAGTTTCAGTGAGTTGTTCACTAGCACTGTGTGCCTATTTTTCCCCCAACCAATTTTTTTACAATTGATTGTACTGACTTGTTTGGAGAAAAATAAATTGAATTGAAAATGAATTGAAAAAAATGAACGATCAGAAAATAGAGCAGTTGCTTCAGAGGTAAATATTTTAGTTCAATGGAATATTTTTTTCACACTGAATAATCAAGAATATTCACGATTTAATTATTTAAAGATAATTAAATGAAATAATCCAAATAAACACTCCTTTTTAATTAGAAATTTGGATTTTTTTAAAACAATAAACAAATATATTTTGTGTCGTTTTTAATGAATTAGTTATGAAGGTTTTTTTAAGGTCAGGCTAATTGTAAGACAAAGTCTTGTCGGCCTGTGCCCTTTATTGAAAACCCATATTCGAATGCAAAAAACTTCCAAGGATTTCTGGAGAGAACTTCTTTGATAATTGAACATAAAAGTCGCCGGCCAATTTTTTTGTTTAGCATGCAAAAATTAATCTCTTACAGAAAAAAATACAAATGATCTAGAAAAAAATTATAAAAAGGTTTATTATCTGAAATGAACATAAAAATTAGTTTTTAAATAAAAGCTCAGAAGTTTTTAGCGGTTTCAATTTATTTAATGCACATTTTTATTTTTTTATTGAATTGTGGAGATCAAAAGATGCTATCAGGTGAGCGGCGTCATCAAATTTCTTTGATCAGCAGTTTACTTTGTTCACACCATTGGCAAAGACTATGCACACGTTTGGCTATTTCTCTACCAGCTGCTCTTTGTGCCCCGATTTCATCAAGAAAATGACACATATTACCTTCCCATGTTGACAATTCTTGTCTTTCATCCAATTCGTTTCCACTAAATCAACCACAGGAGATGAAAGCGGTGAAAGATGTTTAAACTTTAAAATATTTTAAATTTTTGAATTCAAACTTTTTCAAATTTACTGTTTAAAAATTAGATAAATCGCGACCAAACAATTTCATTGCTGCAAAAAAGTTGACGCTCCTTTTTTCTATCTGAGAATATATTTGAGGAGTGAAAAAATCAAACAGACTCTGCTTCTCTCCACACAGCCCGGAGCTATATTTATTTTGGCCGCTCTCTGCTGACAGGTTTTTCTCGCGAAACCAACTCTGCCGATGCAAATTGAGTTTCTGCAGAGGTAAAAAAGGCGCACGGCCGAAAAAAATACATACGTCGAGCTGCAAAACATGCAAAGGAAGGCCGAATTTGCTCTTCCTTTGGCACCACCGAGCTTCACAGGATTCACGCATTTCTTTAACATTTTCCTGACGAGCAAAAGGTCAAATCAAAACTTTGGCAAAATGTTTTCTTACTTTATATCATTTTTATTGAAAAAAAAAAAAAAAAAATTGTAATTGATGGTAAAGAAACTATACAAAGTTATAAAATTTAATAAAACAAAATGTAAATTTAATGTTTAATGTAACATTTTTAATCATTTTTCACTATTATAAATTTGCTTCGTGATTTCCTTAAATATTTTTAATTCATATTAAATTTGCTCCTTTTAAACAATATTTAATTTAGTTTGCTCCTATTATGACGTTAAAAACAATTTATGAAACTAAAATTTTTCTTAAATCAGCGATAGGCCAATTTTGCTGCTAAAACAGTTTATTAAGCAACAAATCATTTTGCTAAACAACTTAAATTAGTTTCTATGACACTTTCAAATTTAATTTTCGAGCGAGAAGAAAAATTAAACAACCTAAAAACTCTTTTGACAGACTTTTAAATCTCTATTAAAATTATTTTATAAAATGGAAATGTGTTTTAAAAGAGGTTGAAGCGCGCGTGAGCTCTCTGCATGAAGCTTTGACCTCTGCTGGAATAAAGTGGCAGCTTTATTTTTAGTGTGTGTGTGTGTTGTGCGCTAATTCACGCCGCGTGAAACGCGAGCTCCCCTTTTGATATCCAAATGCGGCGTAGAAGTCGCAAAAGTGAGACAGATTTGATACCGCGCGAGCAAGAGTGTTTTTGTTGCATTTCACCGGCGAAACGAAAACATTGCGTTTTGCTACGGCTTTTATTTCAGTCAAAAGGGATGAGAGAGAGAAACACGCACGCGTCTCTACAATCAATATTATCCAATTAATAAAAAAAAAATACAATTTAATTTAAAACGCCAAAGGGTGGATCCAGGAATGATTTGGGTGTGATTGTTGATGAAAAGTTACCATTTTGAAATTCATGTATGATGTTGGGGTTGGAAAAAGGTGCTTCCTCCTAAATTTTCAGCTAAAAATATTGGGTGCTTTTCCGGGAAATCAGATTTTTCCAAAAACACTAAAATACCAATATCTCTGCTCCTACTAAGAATAAACGTATGCTCTTTTCACGTTCAGACGTAACTTTTTACGCCCGACAACTTTGCCATTGACAAATTTTGCGTAGGTCAAAGGTCAAGGTCACTAAATTACAAATTTCACTTTTAAACGCAATTTTCGCAAAGAAGCACCCCTCAGATTTTTTTTGCAGTATAGGAAAAAATGTAGCCCCAAGTGTGTAGAACAAAATACTTGATTTTCAGAATGGTAACTTTTACTGTTAAATTTATAATACTAACTAAATATTAAAAAACAGTGAAAAATCACTTTTCCGCAATAGAAATTAATTTTCAACCAGCGATAACTCTGTTTCTGTTACAGAAACGACAAAATAAGTAATGACAAAAAGTGTTTGTCTTGACATTCTGCATCCAACCATGTATCAGTCAAGAAGGTCAAATCACCAAAGGTCATTGACCTCGGTGACCTGTGACCTTTAAACACGATTTTGCAAGTTTTCTGTGTAGGAAATAATAAAACCTATTTAAATTTTGAAAAATAGTTTCAAAAATTAGCAAAATCGTGTTTAAAGGTCACAGGTCACCGAGGTCAATGACCTTTGGTGACCTGACCTTCTTGACTGATACATGGTTGGATGCAGAATGTCAAGACAAACACTTTTTGTCATTACTTATTTTGTCGTTTCTGTAACAGAAACAGAGTTATCGCTGGTTGAAAATTAATTTCTATTGCGGAAAAGTGATTTTTCACTGTTTTTTAATATTTAGTTAGTATTATAAATTTAACAGTAAAAGTTACCATTCTGAAAATCAAGTATTTTGTTCTACACACTTGGGGCTACATTTTTTCCTATACTGCAAAAAAAATCTGAGGGGTGCTTCTTTGCGAAAATTGCGTTTAAAAGTGAAATTTGTAATTTAGTGACCTTGACCTTTGACCTACGCAAAATTTGTCAATGGCAAAGTTGTCGGGCGTAAAAAGTTACGTCTGAACGTGAAAAGAGCATACGTTTATTCTTAGTAGGAGCAGAGATATTGGTATTTTAGTGTTTTTGGAAAAATCTGATTTCCCGGAAAAGCACCCAATATTTTTAGCTGAAAATTTAGGAGGAAGCACCTTTTTCCAACCCCAACATCATACATGAATTTCAAAATGGTAACTTTTCATCAACAATCACACCCAAATCATTCCTGGATCCACCCCAAATCAATAAAATTCTTTTTATTTAAATTATTATATTTCAAATCTCTTTTTGTTTATTTATTTCTTCCTTTATTCATTGGATTTAAATGAAAAAAATTTTATTTTATTATAACGCTGAATTGTAAACTGACCAAATTCCCCATTTTTAAGTTAAAAACTATATTGATTATTAAATTTCTTCCAATAAGTGTTATTTTGAAATTAAATATAACATTTTTTTTTATTCATTGAATGTGAATTGGGTGCGAAATAAGCACGTGCTCTGGTATTTGGAGGGGAACCTGTGGTGCGAATGACAACTGCAAATGTACGTTAAGTTTTTGTAATTAGCGATAGCAGCCGCCAACACGTTAAGTGTGCATCAAGGCGTGAATCCGCCGCCGCCGTCTCGCCGTAAAGGCAAACTTTATTTATATTGTGACGTCACACTGCTTGCTTCATTATATTGTGATAATTGTATCGCGCGCATATTATTATTCAGAGGCGAAGCACACAGGAAATATAAGACGCTTCCTTTTCAAATTCAATTGCTCTAGCGTGTTTATCACCCCCTTCATCTAATTCCTCACAAAGCACGTGCGCCGCTCCAAAATTTTTACTTAATTCCAATTTCCTGAAATCCAATATCACTCTTGACATATTTATTTCTCGATATTACCAATGTTTCATAAAAATGTAAGCTTTGTATTGGTTTCTGCAATTAAATTCTAGTATTAAATGCAAAATTAAAACTTTGTAAATAGTAATAAATTTAATAAAATAAACCATCTATCTGAATCAAGTATTTTTCTTATCCTCTGTAAATTGTTCATACTGCGGTGGATTCTAATTCACTCTATGAGGTTATTTAAAATTCATGTCTTGCCTCATAAGTTAGTCACTTGGGGCGCGTCTTTCTCTGTCTGCGTGTCTAATTTTGGCAT